GGTAGCAGCGCCCCAGTGGCCGGGTACCCTAGGGCTTATAGGGTAACCTCGTTGGGAACGGAGCCGTACGGCCGCGCCACTTTCCCACCCTGTACGGCGCCCGCCCGTACGCCGCCCTACCGGCCGTCGCTAGGTATAATATAGGGCCCATAGCCGACGCCCGGGGCCGCTATAGTACCTCTAGGGTAGGCCCTAGGGTAGCGTGCGCGGGGAGTGGAGAAGGCTTTAGGCGTAGAGCAAATCGTGGCTTGCTGGTACGATCCTCTAGCGATAGGCAAGTAGAGCCCGGCGTGTAACCCTAATCCTGGGCGCTATACCTAAGGGTGACACGTAGCGCCCTTCCCCCCCTCTCGGTAGTGATAGTGAGGGGGGGTAGTTGGGGCGCGATAGGTAGTAGGTAATTAGGGTAGAGGGTAGCTAGCTGTATGGTATGATTATAGGGTAGGTAGACTAATAGCTCGTGCTGGCGGTATTAGCGTAGGGTAGGTAGGTATATAGGTATATAGGGGCTAGGTGGGCGCTCGGGGGTACTAGGCGCTAGGGGATACCACTATAGCAAGACGTAGCATCATGGCTCTGGAGGCGGGCCAAGGGTTAAGAAAGGATAGGGGAAGATAGGTAGAGTATATAGCCTAACTATCTATGGTCAGTGCCGGGGGGAAACGGCCACCGGTTTAGTAGCACGTCAAATCGCACCGACCTTTCACTTATTTAGGGAAACAGCTACAACGCAGATCAGGAGCCTTGCAACTCGGCATATAGGTAGATAACTACCTAGGGGCCCTTGTTATATGGTCGTATTCGAGCCCGTTCGTAAAGGTAACGTATAATCCTGAGGCCTGTGGAAAGTAAAGATCTTGAGAGTTCGGAATTCTCAGCTTATCGGGGCTCGGGCCTATAGTAGGTTGAAGCTTCGGTCTCTACGTGAGCTCCCACCTTGTACTATTCTAGCTCTGGCGCATTGAAATATGAAGGAATCCGAGCACTTACAGTAGTCCGGATCTGTAAAGTTCCCCTATTAGCATAGCACGAATTCCCGTTTAAAGTTTCACTAGGTTAAGGTGGTGAAAATACCAGGGTGAAGTAGGTGGCCTTCTGCGGTAGTGTGTATGGGCCGATGGACGTTTTTTCCGGCACCTACCATATAACCTACCTCGGGCGTGTTATGGTAGGGTAACCATCATAGAGGTATCTAAAGAAGCATGGTATTTGGCACTATTATACGTATAGGTAAATACCATATCCCTAGCCCACTAACTATGCTCTTTACTAACCGGAGCCTATAGGAGCACTACTAAGAGCGGGTGCCCCGGGTAGCGGTGCCCCTGTGGCCGGCGACCGTAGGGCAGGCGGGTCGGGACTGTAGGGTAGGCGGGTCGGGACTGTAGGGTAGGCGGTGCGGGAGGCTTGGGTGCAGCACTCCACCGCCCTCCCAGAGCCGGGCCGCCGGGGCACGCCCAGGCACGCCCCAGGGACTCCCACCCAAGCCCGCCGGGCCGCGACCCCGGTCGGTCCGGGCCGCGGGCTCGCGAGCCGATTTTTAGCCCGGGCCAGCAAAATTGAGTTTTCGCGGGGCCGGAATTCCACCCCACAGCCCGCCCGCCCGCGCGCCGCCCTGCACACCTGTCGGAGGGTGTGTGAGAGGGGGCCAGCCCGGGGCCCAGGTGGCGCCCCCCCTCAGGCGAGCCGTCCGACGAACCGAAAGGTCGGACGGCTCCGACCACCACGGTGACGGACCCTGCGCACCCGGTTCGGCGCCCGCAAGGAAGGCGCGCCGAGCACTGGCCGCGGGGTGCCAGCGGTGTTTGAGGGAAGAGGGCTCGCGAGCCGATTTTTAGCCCGGGCCCGCAAAATTGAGTTTTGCGGAGCCGGAATTCCACCCCACAGCCCGCCCGCCCGCCCGCCCCGCTGCGCGGCGGTCGGAGGGTATATGAGAAGAAGGAAAAACAGCAGCCCGCACAGGGCGCTGGTAGGCCCTAACACGGCCGCTCTCTCTCAATCTCTCATATGGGGTCGGAAAGAAAGTCCTCTGAGAGAGCGCGCCGCGGGGGGGTTGTCGGGCCTAGGCTTGGCACCTCTCCGCGGCGGCCTTAGGCCGCTGCTTAGTCCCGTTTCATACATCGCCGCTCTCGCGCGCCCCCCTACGGTATGCCGGGGGGGCCGACGAATGCGGGCGAGCACCTCCCCAGCGCCGCGGCCAGCCGCGCCAGGCTCAACCGAGCGAGGCGCGGTGCGGCGCGGCGCCTGGGAAGACTCCGAAGGCGCAAGGGAACACCCCGTGTGCGCCGAGGGGTGGGCTCTGTGGGTGCTTGGCGGCTCGCCAGACCTTCTAACAAAGCCACCGGGGGTACCTACCGGCTGGGGACGCCCTCTCAGGGCTGAACCTCCCGGTCGGGCCTCCTCTTGGGGCGCCTGGGCGGCGGCTTCGGGGGCGCTATTTCGCCCCCCGATCTCGCCTGCCGACGGCGCTCTGGGGAATTCAGGAGGGGAAAGCAGATGT